ACAGGAGACAGTGGTCACAACCACAAAATGGCTGCTTCAGGAACCAGAGCCACACACGCCCACAGGAAGCCTACGTACAGGGGAGAAGAGGGATAATGTTTAAAAATACTTTGGGAAAGAGAAGAGAAAGAGAATAAAACCAGCACTGTGCTGGCAGCCAATCAGATCTCAAATAACCCATCAGAAGCCCTGCTGGGCAAGAACAATAAGAGACGCCAATGTTGGATCAGGCCAAAGGCCCATCCAGTCCAACACTCTGTATCCCACAGTGGCCAGAAATACCAGTGCCATCAGGAGGTCCACCAGTGGGGCCAGGACATTAGAAGCCCTCCCACTGTTGACCCCCCCCAAGCACCAAGATGACAGAGCATCACTTGCCCCAGAGTCCCTATCTATACCTTGTGGCTAATAGCCACTGATGGACCTCTGCTCCATATGCTTATCTAATTCCCTTTTGAAGCCGTCCATGCTTGTAGCCGCCACCACTTCCTGTGTCAGTGAATTCCACCAAGAACACTTGGTGGGCGCCAGGGAAGGTGTTGGAGGACACCTTGGCGCCCACATACACCACGCTGGGGACCCCTGTATCAGCAGTTGGTGCACACCATACAGCACCATCTTGTGGCAGAGACCCATTCCATTGCCCCTTTGCTGGGTACTACCTGGAGGGCTCAAAGATGAGAGAGCAGGCTCAGTGGTAGTGTGGGTTTCTGTCCCAAGTGAGAGGTCTAAACCATCTTGTGGAGGAATGTAGGGTCACTCGAACCAACCCCTGATTGCATCGTTGTGATATCATGAAATTTAATTTGTTTTCCTTTTTGACTGTTATGTGGCAACAGCTCTTAGAACGTCTGGGCATGACTCATGTTCCTCAGGGAGGGGTGCTCTGCGGCCTGCAGCCAAGGATGGTGGAAGTTGGTATATTCTGCACACAATTTTTTTAAAGTTCTGTGCCATGGTATTCTGTGCTAAGAACAGCTTAAGTCTGTGATCTGCATATGTTATGCAAATTAAGAAACATACGAGTCTGATTGCATTACATGATTTCTTCTTCAGTGTGTGCCATTTGCCTTATTTATTCGGACTTTGCTGGGCGTGGGAACAGGTGTTGAATTCATCCTACAACCACTTATTCATCTACCCCCCCCTTTAAGCATAGGTTTGTATCCACAGGGGCTTCAACTTGCTTTAGAGTAAAAAAACACAAACCCCTGAGATATTCAAGAGGCCAAATTCTAAATCAAAACCCCCATTCTGCAGCCCTCCCCGAATGAGTAGTAGTGATTCAGGGGTGGGTTGCTGTGGCTCAGTGGTGGAGCACATACCCTGCAGGCAAAGGGCCCTAACCTCTATTCCGGGCATCTTCAGCCCTCCCGACAAAGGGCCCCAGGTAACAGGCACCAGGCAAGCTCGCCAGGAAGACACCAGCGATGAAAACAGACATCCCTGAGTTAGGCAGGCCAGTGATGCAAGGACCCATCACATGAGGGATGTCCACGGCATAACTGGGTTCCGGGGAACAGGCTGGAACATTTGGTTGGCTACCTGATTAAAAGCCTTTTGATCCATAAAAGAGGTACCAGTCTGCAGATTTTTTTTAAAAAAGCAAAAAACGTTAATTAGTTTTTTAATGTAAGTACTTACATATCCGCGGGTGGTGGATGCTGTCTCTGAAGTGGCTTTCTTCTTTCCAGTAAGAGGCCGTGCCTCTTCTGAAGAGGGCACTTGCTGTGACAGTTACTTGTGTTACCTGGAAATGAAGAAAAACATTTTGAGAAAGATTATTTTGTTCATAGGCAAATTTAACAACAGTAATACTTAACATTTGTATCCTGCTTTTCCTTGGGCTAAAGTGCTTCACATACATCGCTGTCATCCTTCCAAAAGACTTGTGGGGGGACGTGCATGCGGGGGTGGGGTTTCCCCCGGGGCCTCTAAAGCGGGGGGAAATCCGCCCCCCGGGGGGAATTGGCAGCCCTACTGTCATCCTTCCAAAAGACTTTTAGGGGAAGTTCCGTATTTTTACTCCCCTTATTGCAAACAAGAGGCCGATGCAAGGGGGAGATTTGAACTCAGGACCTTTCAGATCACAGACTAGTCACTTAAAACACATATTACAAAGTCTTTCTGTCCATTCCTTCCTTCCTTTATCCTAGAGATCAGACATGCTCTGAGAGTTCCATGCTTGGAATTTATTTTCTAGTCATGCTAGGGACTAACTGGGATGGGGAGCCATGATGTGTAGGGGGGAGGGGTCTTAAGTCTGCCCCCCTACACCTTTTCCCTGACTTGAAATGGCCCAACAGACTTATATGCTCCTTCAGGGAAACCTATGACTACTGATGGACTACATCTCCAATAGGACAGATAGTGGCTCCTGAGGTGATGTTTTCCGTCAGGTAAAAGAGTAGCAAAGCAGTAGCCTAAATGGGGCCTTTCTGCTAACTGGTCGATCATTTGCTTCCCTTCTGCCCTTTTAATAGCAAAACATCTGCATGTGTATTGCATACAGAGCATCTTCCTAGGGATGCCAGCAACCTGGACCCCCCTCCCCCCCAAAAAGTCTTGTCCCTTGAATGGAGGCTTAATGTGTGAAGATGGGCAACTGAAGCTTCGTGGCACAGAGGTAAATAAAATCACCTGGAAAATAACATGCCACTAAGCCTCCGTTAGAGGGGCAGGGCATTTTCCCTCCAGGTTGTTGGCAGCCCTCCTTACAGCTGTTTCCCCAGATGCATTTAAGTCCCCAGTGGGTTCACAATCTAAACATTTTACCTATACTTAGTTTCTACTAATAACTCAGGCTCCATCCCAGGTATGGGGATGATGGTGTCTCTGGAGCCCTGCTCAGGAACCAGCGGGATCTTCACCTCCAGGTTCTAGAATGCCGCTCCTCTCCAGCACAAACGGTGCCTATGAATTTGTGGTCTATATTATGGCATTTTGCACAGCTGAGGCTGGTTGATAGTTGTTGTGAGCCACCTGTGCAGGTAGGGGTTGCAGGGATTGTGGTGCCTTTCGAAGGATCTGATGGCTCTTTTCCTGCACCCAGGCTCGGCTTAAGTAAACAATTTAGCACTGTGCCGTAAGCAGGCCACAACTCCTAAGTGTTCAAAAGTCACAGCAAACTCAGCTAAGTCCCTTCCTTCTGGGTCGTTTCAGATCCAGTTATTGCAAGCTAAGTGTAATGGAAAGAGAGAGAGAGATGTGGAGATGGGGAGAAAACGAGGCCTCCCAAGACAGGTCCCACTGCAGACTGAGATGACACAGTCATTTCCGTCTGAAGACGACAGTGCTGTTGTACAGATGGGAAGATGTAGCATAGCAGTATTAAAGGTTTGACACCTGGTTGCCATCTGGGCATGTGCCTTTAAATGAGGATTGCTGACTACAAAGGAAAACAAGGCTCCTGCACAGGGTTCCTAACCCAGTTAGGTTGATTTGCTCAAAACTAACTAAAGGGCCTCCCAAATCAGTGTTCCTCACAAGCATATATAAACAATTCCATGGAGGTGAACCAACATATACATGCCTGAAATGGCTCATTTCAACCATAATTTTTAACCAGAACCAGTATAGTGTAGTAGTTAGCAAATTGGACTAGGACCATGTCGCGCTCTCCCGTCTCCCGCCCGGGGTGGTCACGCCCTGCCGTGGCGCTCTAAGCCCACAGAAGTGGGTACTCCCGTCCTC